AATGTTGCATACATCCGCTTAAGCTCAATATAAACTTGTATCACAAGTGGTGTAGGTGTAATGAAAGAATGAAGAGTATTTCTGCCTTTATAACCATAGACCGAACATACATTATCGGGTAATATATGGATCATGATCATATTTGTAATATACAGCAAGATCTTCACAACAACCTTTACACAATTAACACTAGAACTATGTTCTCCGCGTCATTTGCCCACTTTTTAAAATTCGATATCCAAAGAATAGTTATCTGCCTGTAATCTAAGTTCCAAAACTTTACTTCTCTGAAAAGACCTTTAAATATTTATAATTAATCTGATCGTATCTGCTCTAGTTGTTGAGATACCGATAGCGTATATCTATTTCTACCAAAAGGGGTCACTTTGAACCTCCTTTTTTCTCTTAAATGAAAGATGAAATTTGCCACAAACATACCTTGATCGACCAAGAGCCCAAGCACAACATGTTCAAATACACGCCCACCATAGATTAAAAATTGAGACTACCTCGAGCATATACCAAAAATACTTTCATCTTCATAACTTTCGACACCACAAAGAAATTTCGAAATACATCTTACCGTCATAGTCGCCGGAACGCACCTGCATGTTCGATTCAAAAACCCTCTCGCTCTATTTACTGATACGACCAGAATTAACAACAAAATCTTAATTCCAATTTCCTTTCAATTCACATCCGAATTATTTGTAATGGAATGAGGGGCATGGGAATGAGGGTATGTGTTCAAGTAATTTGAAAATAAATTAAAAATAAATTGGAAATAAAATTTTATCGTTAATTTTTGATAGGCTTGGAAAACAATTGTAGCTAGTATTATATTTGGACTGAGTATGAAAGCGTGGCTAACGAATGTCTGGATCAAAGGATTTCGAAAATGTCTTCACAGAATCAAAAGTTATAGAAGGAAATATGAAAATATTATCGCATGTGTGGTTGTTTTTTCGAGATCGTCTCAGTTTCCTATCTATTGTGGGCGGGCATGTAGATAGATCACAATTATTTTCTAATTGTGGAGATTAATCCACCAAGGAATGCCAATTTTCTACTTATTTAGATATATGCAAAACGTGGGTAGCTCTGGTGTCAAGATAAGATTTAATCGCATTCGCATGTTCTATTGTCCGCTTTTATTTTCAAAATTTCAAGGCTCACGCATGCATTGTCTTTTCTAACCATAGCGCGAATCGTATGCATCTCGACCAAGTCGTTGAAAATATTTTATGTAAACATAACAATGTGGACGACGAGAATGATGACTCAGTATTCGTACTAAGCTAAAGATCATCTTTCTAATGGTTTTCATTTGACTTTTTATTGAAATATTTTCATTGCCCTCATTTAAGCCAATTTTCTACCATTTCAAACTATGAGCAGATGTTACGTGTAATCATTAAATGATATATATATGTATAAACAAATATTTATTTTCAATTTAATAGAATATTTAGTTTCAATAAAATGCATTATTTTGTCACGTACAGGAAATATTTAAGAAACACATTGAGAGAAATAATTATTTTATAAAAATATTTTTTCATATGCATTTAATGCAACTTGCGAAAATAATTTCTCCCATCAGTTTAATTACGTTACAAAACTCAACCAGATAACCATGAGGTAAAACGGAAATAATCTTGCTAGGAACTTGAACGTAAGCGCAGTAAAGTAGAAAAACAAAACATATCTCTTTTAGCTTTTGATATACACAGTTACACACAGACGATAGCTTATATACGTTCAACGATCATTTATTATTCTATTCACGACCCTAGAAAACAGAGAAATCATCGCAGATATAAAACTACATAGAATCGTTTGTCTGTCAACAGACGTATGAAATACCAAACTTTATTTCTGATTATGATCATATACCTATACTCATACATCATATGCATTCATCATCAAAGTATGATTTTCAATCGATTCGATTATGCCTTAACACTTAAGGCACTAATATAACTGTGCCAACCATAAAAAACGACAATAATTTTGCAATGGAAGAAAAAATAATGTAATGACAATGTTCGATGAAGTTATTAAGTACATGGTCAAGTATTAAATAAATAGAAACTCTATCGCGGGCTACGACCCGCTATTAACACGTTGACGCTCACTTTAAAATCGGTGAGTGCTTGCAAAAACACACTTTTTTTTTTTTTTTTGTTCTATAATACTAAGAATATAGGACTGCTATAAACGTCGTTTGCATCTACAAGCACATGCACATGACGTCAGTTACATCAACGGGTTAAACATCCCTACTGTTACTCATATAACGACTGTTCAAAATAAGACATTAAGTGGTCTGATGCGAACCATTCGTTAGTAGTGGACGGGTTAGTAGACCAATTAGAAGCATTTCTGCAACATTTAGTTACGAGCTTCTCAAAAACATCTTCACGCAATCGAAAGTTATAGAGGAAGGTTTGAACAAATTGTCACTGTTGTTTTAAACTTGTGTTAGTTTTTTCTACATTGTGGGCGCGAAAGCTAACAGACTGCGACTATTTTTTACCCAGACATTCTTAATCGAACGAGAAACGTTTTTTTCAAAGTTCAATTTTCTATCTATGATTTTGCGACTATGAGGATTTACTAAATTTTCCCGAAAAACTGACACATGTTGCAATTTTGCAATCTGCCTGACAGGCCGAGTAGGCTAAGCATTTCGACTAGCAACTTAACGGTCGTGCCACAGAGTTTTCAATAAACCCAATTGCCTCAGATGGTAGTGCTTTAAGACTTTAATCCTTTAGTTCATTTCTTTCGCTAAATTAATTATGTTAATAATAATAAAATTTTGCAACGACTATAATTAAATGAGCATACACTCTTCTCCAGTGGAGGGGTACAAAAATTAAAAATTTATATCGATCGGTTCTCAGTTATCGAACACAAATAAAACACATCTATCAACCAAAAGTCTAAAGTCGTCTTTTTTTATAAAACTGATTCTCAATAAATCAAAATTTTGGAATAAATGTCTCTTAAATCGATTGACAAACACATGAAGTAAAAACTTCAAGTAGAAACTGTAATTATCCCTCGCAAAGAACCATGATTTTTAAGTGTTTACAACATATTACGAATTTACTTACGATAAGCAAAGTCAAATATAATCAATGATTGTCTCTCTTTAATTATTTGCTTTTAACTCATGATCTCTTATGAAGAGTATAGGAAAGTAGGAATTTTCAAGTAAATAATCGATTATTTGTTTATAAAATCTTTCATGCTCATCATGAGGGATAGGATTTGTTAAGCGCAGAAAAAAACGATCATTGACTCTTTATCATAAGTATACACTTGGTCAAAGGGAATTAATGGCTGTGTGTGTCTCGATCAAAAAAGTAATCCATTCATTGCCAGGCAAATTTTAAACTTCTTGATGTGAGTCCGAAGATTTGACTCGTCAATCTAAAGTTGTAGTGCAAACTATCGGATTTCTCGTAGCCGTCAGCTTTACTAGATACGCTTATTACGAGATATCTCGTAGTTAGCAATGAAAGCTTTAATGTTAAATTCTTCTTCTTTATTTTCTTTCTTGAATTCAAAGATCAGCTGAGTTAGTCCACAGGTTTAAAAATTAAAGAAACCATTAGAATTGTGAGCATTAGATATCTGTGCCTTGGCGTTTTTATTACAATTTTTCGAAGTGGATCCTATGTGCACTTTGACTTCCACCAACAGTATACATACGAGAACGTATTTTCGCTTGAGCAACACTTTGAATATTGAGCAACGCTTTGGCGCTTAACAATCTCTAATTGCCTAACAAGCATAGGTTAGGCTTAGGTGCAATTAAATAGAAGCAATATCACCTTTGCAGTGCCTTCGGCGTAAAATATGCACATACTGTACAGATTCAAACCATCTCGTCGACTTACGAAATATTCTTACAAGATGTTTGTACGTCTTCGATTTCTTCAATTGCTTTTCTGGCCAGAATATAGACATCAACGTAAATTTTAGGAGGCGAAAACTATCTTGTCTTCCTTTCTCATCTACCCTGCGTTTATTATGCATAACGCTTCTTACGCTAATCCAGCTTCTTACTCTAATTTATGTATCCATCTAAGGTGTTGAGAGTTCATTTGTCCGTCCACACAGAATTAACCTATCTAACCTCGTGCTGTCATACACGACACATCTGCTCGTACTGGCTGTATGTTGTACGACATCGAACAGCACAAAGTCTGTTTAAGACAGCGGCCATTACTGAGCTAAGCGGTTGCCAAAAATTGAAGCTACCAATTTTGCCAGATACCAAAATAAAAAACGCCGACTGGTTTAGCCAAAGTTGCTCGCTTTCCGTTATTCGTAAGAGGAAAATAATCCTCTTACAATTAACTTTAAAGAGAAATCTAGCATTGCATCTAGACCATCGCAGCACATTTCCTCAATAAAAGGTATGTGATCTTAAAATGAGGAAGAATTTTGGAATTCTCATAATATATTCATATTCAAGATCCAACTTTTCTTTGATTTTATTTTTACTATGCAATTGAAGACATATCAGGATTCATTGAAATGCACACCAATGCCCACTGTATATACCAGTTAAGTGAAAATAATGCTTCAATCTTAATTGATAATTGTTATCAAAAATTTTGTGAATTGCATGAGTCCACTTAAAATGTTGCAAATATTTAAGAAAGCACTGCAATTATCGAATAACTTGTACTAAGAGCTTTAATAGCCTTTAAGCCTTTGATTTATAAAAGTCTCATGGTTCTATTTTGTACTCAACTGCCAACTGCCAACACTCGTGCACTATCTTTTTAATTTATGATTAACTATGTAGATAGTAATAGAAATCATGCACAATATATGAGTTAAGGTAAGGTTAATAAGATAAAATATTAGGCAACAACTATAAGAAAGAACTAAATTTTTAAATGACTTCCTTTTAAATTCCACTGTACAATGTTTTTGATTACATTTTCCTTTTATTCTTTTTGTTTTTTTTTTTTCAGCAAAAATTTTAATATTCTATGCCATCTTCTATACCGTATTGGCGGGTTTATTTACGATATGCATTCAAGGTTTATTCTCAACTCTTAATGAAACAGAACCTAAATGGAAATTGGACAAATCTTTGATTGGCACAAATCCAGGTATGGGTTATCGTCCGCTTAGCGATGAAACCGAACGCGGTTCTGTGATACAATTTGATACCAAAAAGCCTGAAGAAGCCCAATATTGGATTCAACTTTTAGATGATTTTCTTAAACGTGAGTAGAAAAATGCGAATTTTTTCATATTTAAGAATAAATTTTTTCTATCGATGTTTTTTATTTTATCTTAGAGTATCAAGGGGAAGGAAAAGGTGGAAAACATTGTGAATTTAATCAAACTCATAAACCTGAAGATGTCTGTGTGGTGGATGTAGAAAAATTCGAAACTTGTTCGCCGGCAAATTCCTATGGTTACAAAAATGGTCGTCCTTGTGTGTTTTTAAAATTAAATAAAATATTTGATTGGAATCCTCAGTACTACGATAATCCGAAAGAATTTCCCGATGATATGCCTGTAGAGTTAAGAACTTACATTAACAGTTTACCAGCAACTGAGGTAAAATTCAACATTTTTGTTCCTACGTATAAGAGAAAGTAGTAAAAAAGATAAAACGCCATTTCTCCTCTCTTCTCGCAGTTACAACAAGTTTGGGTTTCTTGCAATGGCACCAATGCCCAAGATCGGGAAAGTCTAGGTGATATAAAATATTTTCCTGGCCAAGGTTTTCCCGCCTTTTATTATCCATATATAAATCAACCTGGCTATTTGAGCCCTCTAATAGCGGTACAATTTGAAAAGCTACCCGTTAGTCATATGGTAAATGTTGAATGCCGTGCTTGGGCTAAAAATATCATATACAGTGGCAGTGCCCGCGATCGTATGGGTTCAGTGACTTTTCAACTCTTCATAGATTAGAATTAAATTCTGTTATTCTTTAATCAGCTTAAAATTTTACGAAAGTGATGCCATTAATATGTAATACATAGAAAACAACAGCAAACAAACAACACAAACACACACATATTTTATTGAATTATTCAAAACTTGAATTTTTCTCTACTTTTTTTACGACAATTCTTATGTAATAAAAATAAAAAAATCAGCATAAACCCCACCAAAATCAATCAGTAAAGCAAGCATACACTATACAAGCATGGTTCTCTGTTAAAAACATTTAATTAATTTTGTTTTCCTTTAACTTTACGTTTGTTGTTTACGTTACAAAAGTTTGATTATAATACGCGTGTATATATTATTATTTAAAAAAAAAAAAAAAAAAAATCAGAAAACAAAAAAAACCGTAACATACATTTCATTATTCTTGAGTAATTTGCAAAAGTTTCCTTTTAAGCCTGTCCTCAACTCCTTTCCCCATTCCTATTCTTCCTATTCCTAATCTTATCCCTATTCTACCTAATACTGGCATTAGTGTTATCTGCTTTGGTTAAATGTTGTTGTGTTTATAATAATTCAACTCTCTACCACTTAACACACGGCCCCTTGAAATTCTCAAACAAAGTTACAAAAATAGACATTAATTTATGATTATTTCTTTTTTTTTTAATATATATTTTTTTTTTTTTTACACAGTATTGTTATAACTACGTTTTCGTTTCTTCATAACATACGCTCCTATGCATTAGCATTAAAATAAAATAATTAGTTTCGCTTTCACAATTTGTTTAGTTTTTATTATATAGAGATTTATGTGAAATAAAACTTTCTGAATCAAAATGTAGCTAAAAATGTGCTAATATTTCATTGAGACATACGTGCATAAATATACATATATAGAAAATGTTAAATTTGTAAGATTTTAAAAAAACTTTTAAAAATAAAATGAAAAAATAATTGAAAATTTGAAATATTAAATAAAAATGCCATCAGTTTTTTTTTTTCTTGTTTTATTGATTTAATAAAATTTATTTATTTTATCATTTAAAATACATTTATCTTTTTGTTAAAATTTTAGTAAAATATTTTCATTCTGTTGCGTTCTGTCAATTTGTTTTTCTTTTTTTTTTTTTTTTCTATTGTTTTTTTTTACTACTGTACTAGATTTATAGTGCAGTCAGAGAAAATAAAAATTAATAATGAGATACATAAAGGAAATTTTTGATCGCTTACGAGAGCTAATAATATTCCTTAAGCAATAGTTACAATTATTAGTAATAGACTTCTATGAACTAAAAAAATAAAATAATTATAAAACATTTTGTAATCAGATTAGCTATATATAGCCAGCAGAGTTCCATCAATTAACAGTCCTATCCAGAAAAGGAAAGATAAATAAACTCTTGTTAACATGGTTGTGGTTTTTATCATTCTAAAGCGAATAATTAGAGATGATGATAGGCCTCAACATTTCCCAAAGTAGGTTTATTGAGCCAAATACAATAAACATGTCTGAATTCTCCAGTGTAGTCTAGGCCCCTAGCTTAAACGTATTCTCTGACTCTCTGGAGGCATAGTAGGAGACACATTTTCTTTCCACACTCAATAGTCAGAGCCGCTAAGATCAGAGACCCCAAGTACTTATGTTAAAGAATTTGAAATGGGTCGAGCTATATGTTTCGTTATACGGTTTTCATATTTAGTTTTATTTATACAGAGTTGATGGGCAAGTATAGGAATAGAACCGATCACCTGATTAGCCTATAACCGCAGTTTTTATTAAGAGAATACGAGCTTAGAAGCCATCTAAGTCGATGAACTCGATTTTCAAACAGGACTGTGAAGACTTCTGTTAAATAAAAATGTTTTTCAATCCATTACACCATTACATACGTAAGTCCGTAAAAGCCGCTTTCAGCGTTTAATGATATCGTAACTACTTTTGATTAACATTATAAGGATTCAAAAATTCATTCTAGCGTAAACTGAAAGCTTACTGAAAGCTGAACAATTTTGTGCTGCAAATATTTTTTTTTTAAAAAGTTCTATAGAAAGTTAAAAAAACATCATAAAAAATAATACCTTGACAGAAAAAATTTTTTAAGATTGCATATTTTTGATCCCTAAATTCAATTTGAACCTGAAAAGGAAATAATAATAATTCTCTTAAGGCTCTGCCTGTAAAATTTCATCAAGCCGCTGAGGCCACATTATATTGTATACTAGTTCTAGTCTTAGCAAAAAACCTAGAATCACTTTTCTTTAAAAAGGGAGTTCTATCAGGCAATTTTCAGCGCCCAAAACAAGCCCATAGGGTCTTTTTCAAAAACCTATAAGATGAACAGTACCTGTACTGACAATGAGTGAATAAAAATAAATAGTGAAGGAAATGAGTGAATGTTTCGTAATAAAAATGAAGTAACTTCTATGGAATTTAGAAATAAAGTTTATTATACGGAATTAAAAAAAAAAAACTTTCTAATAGAGCATTACGATGGAACATTACTCCTCCCTTTCGTACTGGCATCTAATTTCATATTAAACACAGGACTTTGTAGGGAAACTTCTAACATTCTATATAAGAGTGTTACCTGTAGACTGGACAGTCATTCTCTTAGTAAATATTTATTGATCTAAGAAACCTAATACATTTGCCTTTTTTTAGTGTCTCGTATGACTTTAATTGAATTTTTTTTTTACACGATTTAAAAGTACTTAAGATCCTAACGCAATTGGCTTTTTATAGAAAAGATTACAGACGCACTATGAATTGTATGCTAATGTCTTTAAATTTAAAACAAAACATTGTTTTTTCTCTCAACTAGAGGCATTTAAATTTTTGATCATTCACATGATATCCGTCTACACACAAAAGAGGTTTAAGTCCATCTTTTACATTCAATGCTTTGTGATTCAGTGCACATTGTCCTTATTTTTCAATACAGTCAATATAAAAATGAATCAAGACTTTACGATCTAATAATTTCAGTTTATTATATCTGCTATCGACGAGTACTGGACTTTTCCTTTCTTTTGTAAAGGCCAAGCTACCTCAAATTAGAAAATCGATAAAATGCATATATTTTCAATTTACCTTAGGACCTGCGTGAATTTCTTCTGTCTTTTCTTTCGGCTCTTTCCCTTTCCTTTTAAAGTCTACGTTGAGAACGCTTGCCTATAAACTGATCAATACACACTTAGCAGAGCCGCAAATGGGCACGATTCGTTTACAACCTAGCCTACAAAAAATGACTCTGGTAATGAAAGATTCACGCTCAGGCGAATAAACTTTTTCTATTTATTTCTTTGCTGATAATTTGGTTTTTTACCCTTGAAAGCAAAAAGGCAAAAATAATTTCAAACTATCAAAGTGTATTAGTTGTGTCATGCTTAGGGAAATTCAAAAAAATTTTGGAGAATCCCCTTAATAAGAGACAACATTGGACTACTCGAAAGCGTCCCAACCCCTTAACTATACAGTTCGTGTAAATAATTTTTTTTATACCCTACATCACTTACGATGCAAAAGGGTACATTTAGTTTGTGCGGATGTATATAACACCCAGAAGAACTGCAGATAAACTCACTTTTTATCATAACGATCGAATCAGATCTAAACTTTTTTATCAGTGCATCTGTGTGTCCGCCTTATCTTCGTTTATTCAACATACGGGGCGCAATTTTTGAAATATATTGATGAAATTTAGTACACTAACGTGTTTCGATCCAAAGACGAGCACTAGCGAAAGTGGTTCGGATCGGACACCTTTTGCGGCCTTCCTTCCCACAGAAAGCCTTATTTTAAAAAGTGATTTCATGAATAATTATAGGATTGTGTAGAGTATTTAGTGGGCCGCGGCACACTATAGCGTTTTTAAGGAAAACAGAAAAAAATAAAAAAAAACAAATAAACAAACAACGAAATAGTTATAAATTAATTTAAAGACATTTTGTTACAATATTGACGGATTTTATGAGACGTTTCGATAAGAAAATCCCGATACAATGACAGCGATAAATAGCTCATAAACCTGCCCTATTTAGACAAGTTTTTTTTTTTTTTCATAGAGCAGTGCACATCGTATTTTTTATATATTTTGTTTGATTTTATAAATTTTATTACCTAATGTTAGTTTTTATTATTTACGTATAGTAGAGATGGAAAGAGAAAAATTATCGAAAGAGAACAGGTAACGCGTAAAATTTATAAACTATTACTAAAAATTGCTCGATTTTGTTTTTCGCTTTTTCATACGAAATTACAAACGCATTATTTTATCACAATTTTTTAAATAAATAAATGAGCTTTTTTTTTCTCTCTTTTTATCTTATTATTTTTTTTTTTTTTCTTGATTGCAACATTTCGCAAATATTTCTTATTTGCTTTGATATCTAATAACTGACTCAGGAGTGCTTGGCACCCCATAAATCGGTTTCATGATACATACGATATATATTATCTCTAATCAATTTGATTTTATCTGCAATGGACAATGATCAAAGTATTTAAAAACATCAGAGATTATAAAGAGAGTATTTTCGCTGTTTGACCAACCTTTAGGTAAATTAAGACCAGTGACTTGCTTTTTGTAAAACTCTAAACATACATCTTGTGGTACACCAAGCGCGTGGATATTACAGGTAAAGGATCTATAGCAAAAAAAAAAAAAAAAAAAAAAAAATTCTTCTACTCTTTTACTCTGCGCATTAACTTAAAGCAAGTATTGTTCTTACCCCAATTGCCGAAAAGCAATATTTTCCATTTCCTTATCTACTTCCAGAGCTACTTCATTAGTGATTTTCGTATTGGTAAATTTCTTCGCCTTACATTGATGGCTGTGTTGCGAAGAGCTCGAAGAGGAATTTTCATTCTTAAGCATTGATTTCTCATCGATTTTTTGTACACTTTCATTAGTAATTAGTTTCTCTTTATTCTCTTCGAGTTCCTTTTTTGATTTTTCTTTGGCCTTACGTCGATCGCATTTCTTTTGCCGGGCAGCCAAGCGATGTTCTCTTTCCGTTTGCATTGAGTCCAAATATGCAGCCGTCCAAAATCGCAATGATAGCCATATGGGTTGTTGGCGCATAAAAGTAAATAGATATTCCCGATACGGGTCACAACCGGGAACGTCAACTGAAAAATAAATTTCCAAGAACTCTTGAAGCTATTTGAAAGAATGGAAAGAATGAACTTCAGGATCTCACCCTCCCTATAAAAAACAAAACATAAATTCATTATAATGGCAGCCGGCGGATAATCTTCACATTCGCTGCATTCAAAGAGAAAAATAGCGAAATGCTGTACCAGCAAATGAAATGTTAGTTCTTCAATGCGTTTCGATTTGTTTTTCTGTTCCAATAAAAATCTCGTAAACCATTGGCGTCCAATGTCCAAACGAATCATTGCTCCGAATTCAGATTTCGATTCTAAATCTATGGTATTCGCACTACGAAACAGTGTCTCGGTGAAACGCTTCATAAACTCTTTGATGGGCTCCTCACCAGCACGGCAATCGAGACTGATAGATGAAGCCCATGAAGGCACGGAATTCTGGGACTCGGAACGTATAAAATTACGCCAATCGGTAGATTCCATACTGGGACTTACTTGCACTTCGGGATCATCCCGTAGACTTGTTAAGGTACTGCTATTTGAATTCTTACGTCTAGAGGGTGGTAAACGCATGGAATGATTGGAACTAACGCCTGCCGTTTGAATATTACCACTATTGTCTGTAATTAAGTGCTGTTGTTGTTGCTGTTGTGAACTGATAATAGTATCCTTTTCATAAGGAGGCTGCACCTCAATATGAGGTGTTCCTTTAACATTGACCGTAGCAGGTTTTATCAAATCATTTAAGCGCAATAAATCGCGTTGCATATCAAGTTCACTGCGTCTCGCACCAGGTATTGCTCGGGCCCGTTCATATCCACCGGAATTTCGGGATTCTAAAGAATCAGATCGGGTAGTGCTGCTGACATGGGATTTCTCTCCAGCGTTGTTTGGAAAAGATCTCGAAGAAGTTGATGTAGACGACGAAGACGAACTGGACGAAGAAGAGGAGCGTGATTTTTCATTTTGTTTCTTTGAACGCAAGGCATCCAACCGCGGTCCTAAAGAAATTGTTGTAAATTTAAAAAAAAAAAAACACACACACACATAGTTCCATCTCTATTCAATTTACTCACTTGGCGCTAAATTCGGTTGTCTATACCGACCAGAAATGATTTCTTCATGAGCCCGACGGGCCTTAACACGTCTCGATTCATAATCAATTTTTGTATAATCAATCGATTCATCAACTATTGGAAAATATTATAATTTTCTATTTAATCGGCATCAATGGCATTAATAAAAATCTATATACTTACATTTTGGTATTTCCTCTTCATCATCATCACAATAATCGGAATCACTGGAGCTGATGTTTAAAGTAAGCTGCAAGAAGTAAAAACGCTTGTATTCCACATAATGAAAGGGTTATTTTATAATTGATACTCGAAACTATCTTTTTATCTATTCATTTAAGACAAACGTTTCGGCTGCTACTTATAGTCCTTCAGATTCAAAGACATATGCTATGGCATTTTTTGTCATGTAAACTTACATGTGCAGTAAACATAGGCAAGTAAGACATTTATTTATTACTGCTGCGCTTTCAAATTTTCAAGGTTAACACACACACTTTAGATCAATATTTTTTACAGTAACACACAACACACACACACACACACAAAGACAAACATATACATATATGTATAATACGCGCTCGAATGCGTTCAAGCACAATCATATTTTATTATTTAACGGTTTTTCGTACATACATACCAACTCACCTTACTAGAAATGCCGTTTAACAATTCATTGCTATTGCCTAAAACTGTCAGAAATTTTGATTTCAACACCCCAATAGCTGGGGTACTGCGTCCCATAAAGGTTTTAATCCGTGAAGTTTCGCCAACCGGAGGAGGCGAAGAGTTAAACATTTTCATATAACTAAAAGAATAAAATATTAAATCACAGAGAAACACACTTTTGAATACGTATGAATGTGTAGAATTGTCTAGAGGTCACATTCGCAATACAGGTGCATACACTTACACATACGCAAGGAGAACGAGTGTAGGCCTGTACGTGTAATATGCGGGCTTACAGCACACAATTTGACTTTGACACTTTGCTTGGCAAAGATTAAAACAATGAGTTCAACGTAACTATTGAACTTGAGTGTTGTTGTAATATTTTATGTTGTTGGATTTTTCTATTTTTTTTTTATTTTTTTTTTTATTGTTATTATTTCAGCAACAAACGTACTTAATACACACACTGGCACTGTTATCACACTTGACTGGTCGTTGTAGATTTGACATTATAATGCTCACCGCCATCGTTACGTTCAGTATTATAACCAGCATCAGCTGATTCGGTTGCTGTAAGCAGCACAATTTACAAAATTTACAATGCTTCCTTTTTCTATTTGTTTTCATTTCAAACAATTTACACAATGCATGCTCTATACTATAAGTGTATGTGTTTGTTGTGAATTTATTGATTTTTACACAAAGTTCTTGAACAAAAAAAAAAAAAGAAGAGAAATACTAGAGAACCATATTTCCTTGAACTTCACTTGGGCAGCTTATCGAAATTATTCTACAATCGCTTTACATTTTAACTATTTATTTTATATCATTTATTCCCGTAAAAAAGGCACTTAATTTATTTCGCAGTTTGCATTAAGACAACGTTTTACAAATTAAGTTTATCTGCATTGTTTTTTTTATTTATTAATTATTTATTTATTTTTTTTTTTTTTGTAATTCAATTATAATAAATGAATTTTCTTAAAAATTTGTTAATAAAATTTAAGACCTGCTGTTGTGCTTGTATACATTTGTATGATTAAATGCGTATGAGAAACTTTTTCCTTTACTAAATATCTATGCATCATACAACACTTATACGCTAGAGTAAGCTTTTCTAACATCGCATAACGCTTGCTGTTGTGTTTACAGAGTTAAGTAACAACAGTTTTTTTGCAAAATGATTTCTATGTAAAAATAACGGAAGCTTTCTGTTAAACAATTTAAAAATAAAAAAATTTTATGCAACAAGTGGATTAACAGTAAGTGAAAGTGAAATGAGCCTAAACCTAAAAGGTGCGATAGCTATTTCATTAATATTCACTTTCGTGCAAAAATCCTTATAAAGTTATTCGTAAATGTATGTCATATTAAATGTGAGTTAAAAGATGTTTTAAGAAAATATATATAAAATTTAATTGTAATTCACAAATAAATCGTGGACTTTAGAAGCATCCCACTTTTATAAGCTAGAAAAAGCAAAAACATGGCGAATATTTACGCCGAGATTTGGATCGTAAGCTATAATTCATATCCGGATTGCCTTATGAAATTTTCCCTCGAAGATAGTTTTCCTTCCATCCCTGACTGGAAACAGTGTTTGAAACCATTTCGATTGCAATTTAATGATTTTATCGATACTGAAAATTCAACTTCTGCAAATTATTTATGAAAGCTCGAAATACTATCCGCCACGAATTTGAGCATTTCAAGTTTTTAACTTGGCTTGTGGTGGGAAGCTTCTCATTTGAATCAGTATAATGAATTTTTGACGTAAAAGCTTTCACTAACGTCATCGAGTTAAATATTCTAAACAAAGTGTGCACGCGTAGGTCTGCTTGGAACTTATGTGTAGCGTCATTAACCCAAATTGCGACAAGTGAGCAGAATACATTTATTCGCTTGTAAAACAATCTTTTTTTGGGTTCAAACTTTTCAAGAAAATTAAGTTATGCAGACGCAATTATATTAATTGATTATCTGCAAATCAATTAAACAATAGCTAGGAAATAGTTTGCAAATAGTTTTTTATATTCATCAATGAAAGATGAGGAGCACATCGGTTCTGTTACACACCCAAAGTACCTGAGTTTTTTAGATGGAATAAGAACTTGGTTTTGTATTGCAGATTGGTTAACTTATTGCAGATAAATTTACAAAAATCTGAACGTAAGTTCTATGGGCAATGCTTCATTTTTTTTTTCAAGATTTTTATAACGGCCAGAAACTAGCTTCAAAAGCCATATAAAATACATCAATTCTTGGCCAGTTGCAAATTCCGAGCATTTGTGCAACTGTGTAGCGTCTATGATTAAAATTCTCTCGTTTGCAAAATGGAACATATCATCTACAAATTTGGAATAAAGAGCAAAAACTGTGAACAAATTTGTTGTCGGTGTTTTTTGCTTGTTACTCATAAACTACAACACGTACACTATATAAATTTTCACTTTTATTCTGAAAATAGAAAAAATCATCCCTGCCCACCCAATGTTATAGAATATGAAAAGTTAATTTTTTTCTCTTCTCTTAGTCTCTCTTCGGATAATTAGTTTATTTAATTAATTAATTCATTAAAAGCAATTCGGAAGCAAGACTTATTCAATACAAATCCAACTACACATAATGATTAACATTGAGTACGTAGACTGTCAGCTATTAAGCTGCGATTAACAAGAAACTTCACAGTATCGTACAAGTGCATTACTTAGTGTGGAAAAGATTTTCTCAAAATAGAATATTGTAGTGGCATTGTCTATTGATGGCTGTTTGGTTTGGAGTTGGCATTCTATTAAACGTGCATGATAAACGGATATTTAGAAGAGGAGTTCTTGCCTTGCAACGATGATGGTCCCTACATCATAGAAGAGACTTGTAAGTTGAGCAATCGAAATCGATTTATTGCATTTCGACCATTTGTTTTGATGCTCTTCAAAAAAAAATACAAGCTCATCGATTGACGATTGCACCAATACTTTTTTTAACAAATATCGCTCTTAACAATCAGGCCTCTTCGCATGAGTTGCTTCCTGCCTGCACGGAAAATTGTGTTTGCTGAAAGAAAAAAGTTATGCCGACCAAAAGAAGTCATTCAAAAAGAATGATCCGTCGAGGGCAAGTGTGCGGATGTTAAGGACATTCTTATAGGCGTGTCTCTTGACACAAGGATATCTTTTTGTTTGACTATAAATAAATGGGTTTGATATTAGAACGCTCAAAACTATTCTGCGATTAAGGTAATAAAAAAGAAGTAATAATAAGTAAGAAAATTATATTCGGCCGCGATCGTCTCTTGTATTCTCTTGACCGTTACTCTATCCGTACTTTCAAAGCCCTTGTATTTAGTATCCAATTGATTATACCGCGAAGAAAAAGTGAATCCTTCACTTCGCGAGGTCCACCATAACTATTCTCGTGTTGACACATTTGCAGCCAGAAAAGATGTCTTCATATCAGGAATGCGCAGAATAATTTTCAACATTTTGTTTTGTTTACTTTATGGATAATAAACAGAAAACGTAAAGAAAGTGAAAGAGTAAAAATTTGTCACTTCTAACTTTATATGGATGTGGCCGATTTTTTCCATTTTTTTACATGAACCATAAGCCATAAAGTAAATACAGAAAATTTTTCCTTCTGTCGTTTATAGTTTCTAAGTAATAAGCAAAAAACAAAAAAATTTTTGGTGGGTGTCCAGTGTGTGTGTCCAGTTTGAGCTTTACCATGAGCGTGTGCGTGGAAGAACTCCTAATGCTTTTGGCATCTTCGAAGCCATTAGCTGCACTTTTACGAACAGGAGAACGTTTACCGCGGTGATTACACAAACGGACAGATGGACATGCTTGGAACGGATCAAGTATATATATGTTTGATAAGGTTTCTAGAGCTTCCTCCTGGATGTTGCAAACTTTTTGACGAAATAAATATAACCTGCATCCTTCGGTATCGGGTGTAAAAGAAAAGAAAGAAGAAAACAAAACCTTACGAATTTTTGAGTAAACCAGCTAACTGCGTAGGATGTGTAAATACGTCAACCTAAATCTTTATGTCGGTGCATATGATGTGTGTAAACGTCATACTAAATAAAAAATTATGAGTCGACATAAAAATGCAAAATGTCATTTATGTCTAATACACATCAAGCACACGTCCGTGATGTAGAAGTTATTTCCCTTACAATGTATTAATTTTTACATCACGGATTAATTATTTCACCTTGTGCTTCGGGATTTCCCTATTTGTTGTGTGTTCCTTGGTAATTATTACAAGAAGATGAAAAAAAACACAAACTATGAAGGCCTTTAGTAATAATTTGTGACAGTAACACGATGCTTATTAATTTCAACGAAACTTTCCCCTAAATTTTTAGCATCTTCCTATGTCATTATAATATCAAAAGAAAGTAAAAGGTAATGTATTGTAAAAATGACTTAAAAAATAGTTCATTATGGCTTCATATTATCGTTCGACATGGGTGATGCTGTCAGTGCTGACATCCCAGCTTTGCGTGAAATAAATCAAAGAAAATTTTATGTTTTCAATAAGATTTTTTTTTTCCATCAAAAAATCGTTAACATTTTATGTGATAAATATTATACCTTATCCGCTTTGACTTTGACATTTTCATAAAATGTATTATGTGACGATTTGTAGTACGTGTGACGTGTATACACGTCATTGCTTGATTTCAGTTATGCAATGACTTAGGGACTTTTAAAAATTACCTAATAAGCCCCATATCAATAAGGTTTACAAGTAAAAATACTACAGTGAGACAAGGCCCATCATTCGATACATTACAGCAGGCAGAAGTTATTCATAAAACGACTTTTCAAAATAAGCCTTTGCATAGGAAGTGGTCGCACGAACGGCACGATTTGCACGGTTTTCAATAGCAGTTGGACACACACACATCAGTCTACCAAATTTCATTAAAATATTTCAAATATTGCGGCATATAGGTTAAGCACAAGAACACAACACAGACGGACAGAGAGACAGACAGACAAACTTAGGTCGATTTAGAAAGTGATTCCAAAAGATAGGCCAGCTTGAAGAGGTTATGCAACAACCATCCACACAGGTTTAGTATACACCTATACGACAAGTAGTTCCACAAGAATATAACAAAACAAAATATATCAGACCTATATAAAATACGTATCAGCAATAATAAATTATTTACTTGGAGTTAGTTAGCGATTCCACACCATAAGTTGTAAGTAAGATGTAAAAAATTCCAAACCCCAATGAGTACAATTAACACAACTCATAATTAAACGTTCAACTGACTTATTTCTAGACCAGAGTACAATGATAAAACACCAAAAAACTATGGGTATTAAAAACTATCATTGTATGGAGGCAAGGTCGATCCTTCACCACCTCGCTTAAGACAGTGTTTAATTTATCTTCTTAATAAAATACCAAAACTTACTACTTATTATTTTCAAGAATCTTTCATGGGAGCCTTTATATTGAAGGGGTCCAAAAATAAAAACTGGCGTGATTTAAATTTAACAAAAAGATTAGTATTTTTATCAAAGATCTTATCTTGTTTTTCATCTTTGTTGAACATAAAATATTAGAAAGTAGACTTTCCTCCTACATAGAGGCTCCCTTTTGATGAGAACTCTTACATTTTGCATAGAATAGTGCTGACTAGTGCAAAAGTGGAACAAATTACTATTATAACCCAATTTTCGAATATTGTCCCCTCCCACATCCTCATATGAATTTAGTATGCCGAAATATTATTACTTATGTAAATTCTTGATTAGCATCAAATTCTGAATCGATTTAAGCATGTTCGTCTGTCTATCTGCCCGTCTGTTCATCTGTGCAATGTCTTTAGTCAACATGCTCTTAAGCGATCAACTTCAAATATGACAGAAACATTGGAAGTTCATGAAGACAGATTGAAATCGGTTAGAGAACCCGCCAACTGTACCACAGAAACTGAAAACACTTATCCTTTTCAAAAGTAATAATAAATTGGTTTTTTGCTCACATTATTCACAAACCATGGCAGATCAATCCACAAAAATTTGAACGCATCTTTGGACGATGCTATAGCACCTGTACGAAAATGGAAAAAAGAAGACGAAAAAGTAAAAGAGCTACATTTTCAATCTCTATAATAGGGATTGGGCGCCCAGTTTTCTTCTGGGCATTGCAAGCGTTTTGACGAAACGAATATACCCCTCACTTTTCGATGATGGATATAAAAAAAGAATTGTTGATCCGGTGAAAAGAAGTTCTTAGAAGTTTTCGCGTATACTTTTCACTGCAGTATATGCAGCATGTTTACGTTTGATTAAAAAATGTAATGCAAAAGTTTGGCTAAATTTAGGCAAACACAATCTAATAAAAGTTCTTTCGGCCGTTTAAAATAAATGTTTAGAGAAAGTTTCCGCCAAAGACGTATTGAAATTTATAGTCTTTCAAAAAGACTGCGCCAACATTTCAGTTGCTGTGTACATGTTTACAGGTGAGTCATTGGCAAGTGTGACCTCCGTAATTCACAGCAATATAGTTCATCAAGAAACAAAAGGATTGACAATTTTTCCATGCAGTAAAATCAATTCATCGAATTGCGATAGTGAGGGGCAAAGCTTCCTATTGTTGTGCTTATCGAAATTTCCTAAACAATATTCAATTGTATCAATTTTGAAAAACTTTCGCTAAAATGCAACAAAAAATGCTGTTGTAAACAAGTAGAACACAATATGAAATCTTAAATACTTTCAGTTTTTCTGTTTTTTTTTATTTAGAACTATCTTTCATTTATGTATTTATCGGTTTAGTTTTTTGCTGATATTTACAAAATTTCCTTTCACTAAGAATATTCAATGAAAATGGCAATTGAAAAGCAAAGCTAATAAAAGCATTCCACAAACAAACAAAATTACAAAAAATAATAAGAAGAAGAATATGAATAAGAAAGGAAAGAGTACAAATGTCACAGAACGCCCAGAAAGAAGAGATAGTTTTACTGAGACAAGTGCTTCTTAAGTGCTAGACTGTGTCGAGCATCATCACATGATTTGACGTCGAACTAAACTAAAAATGCAAAACACTATTCAGTTTGTGGGAAATAATTGTGCGATCAACAACGAGCAAACAAGAAAAACGTCTAAACAGATCAACAAGCAACACGGAAACGGCACGCGAGTTATGTAAGCAAGAATATAAGAGGATTGTCATTCTTAAGCTAAATACGGTCAAATATATTTCAAGAAGAAAAAGTGTTTCACTACAATGCCAACAATTATTGTTTCGAATTCAAATACTTAACGAAATTGAAAAATAAATAAAAACTGATTTTTAATGACTTCATACGTCAATGAGTTCGAAAACGAAATAATTCTAAAGTGAATTTATGCTTAGCTAGCTAAAAATAGTTTTTCTAAAATTAAAATTTCATATCAAAAAAATACAAAAAAAAAATAAATAAATAAAATAAAATGAGAAAATAAATAAATAAATAAAAAATGTGAGAAAATTTTCCGGAACTCTTTTAATAAAAAATTAAATGAAATTTCTATAAATATAAATATTGTAAATATATGCCGTACATAGATTAAATGTAGCAGATTCTTTTTGCCGCATCTTTTAAAAATAGTTGAAGATCTATAAAAATAAAATTATAACGTCGCCCAGGGTTTACTTACAAACAGCGCATAAGCATTTAGATCAACAAGACCGACAAATATTATCATAATACCAATAAGCTATAGTGACGAAGGCAATATATACATATATATGTTATATGCATATATACATATGTGCTAATTTATATATAAATCAGGAAAATATTTTTATTTTATTTCTATGGCCACTATACGAGTATCTATCTACATACTTCTACCATATGGGTCTCGTGTAAAACTTATAAAAAAACACGAAAACGCAAAAAAAAAAGAAGAGAAAAAAATTGGAAATTGTTAGCTGCATATGTAGACAGAATTAAAGCTAAGATGTTTTATGAATCTGGAGATAATGCAATAGTACTGAGAACCATAAATATTTTCTGTGTTTCTTTTCTTCTCTCTTTCTCTTTCTCTTTCCCTTTTCTTTTTTTTTTTTTGTGATTTTTTGCTACAAAGTAAAGACCTCTCTCAAGCGATTTTTTCTCTCTCAGCCATATTTTTTGAAAAGTTTTTGATTTTTCAAATCTGAAGCTTTTCGGGCTTTAACGAATAGAAGCAAATAGAGAAAAAATGAGTTCGGTTCAAGTGAGTTGCGGAACTCATCGATATCGGCTGATGATTTGTGATTATTGAAGAAAATATCTTCAAATTTGAAAATATCTTCTACACGTTATTCTTCTTCTCAATTTTGTTATGCTTTTGATGGTATTTAGTGATCTTAAACTTGTTCTATTAAATCAGTCTTATACATATTACATTGCAGTGAGCCAAGAATAGCTCAGTTTGAATTGCGTTGCCTTCTTATTAAGTGTATAAACAATATCTATTGTCAACTATCACATGCGGAAGAAAGTTAAAAAAATAACTGAGCAATTTGTTAGGATATGCTTCTCGTGCAATTACTGGTTGCCCTTTTCAATACACATCTCTCAAAAAATTGTTTAAGGCGAACGCGTGTTTTCATTATCTAAAAATAAAAATTTGACGACATTTTTTATCTTTGGTTTCAAATTAATCTTTCTGATGGAAATATTTAATAATCTTAGCGGTAATATTAATATTTAATACAACTAAGAAGATATTCATGGCTCAAAAACTTTCATGTATGTTGCATTTACCTCAAATGTTTGAACTGAGTAATTCCATTGAAATCCTTATTGACCGATCAGAAACTTCTTCACTCTTCTTAAATACATAACAAAGAAAAATACTTATTCGAAACCTCATGAAACACCCATATTTTTATTCAGCATAAAAGTTTAAGACGATTTAAATCACACCAATAATCTAGGGCCGCTTTATGATTCGCAATACCGCGTAAAACCTATCATAATTTAAATACGCTACTTGTCAGCAATTTTATGATCGTAAGATTTGCCCGCTTTATGTAATTGTAAGTATAAACTCTCTACGCGTCACAGGCGGTCCGTAACCCATAACTTTCGTATTTAACCGATACCGACATATAGAAAGCGACCCCTTGCTGGTATACCGAGCCAATTGAGCCTCATTCAGAAAAAGCTTTAAATTTCTTTTGTTCATTTGTTATTAAGTTGGTTTACCGCATAGCACAACAGGATAAGAAACGTAAACAATAAGTCAACATATCAGAGGTCAAATAATTGCTTTATTTATTTATTCCACTTATACAAGAAACTCAACTACAAATTTTGACAGTCGAGTTCAATTGACTCTTAAAGTAAATCTTAAATTAATTAACATTACTTTTTAATTTAATTAATAAACAGCACGACGCTTATTTATCAGGCTATCACCATGTTTAGAAGGGTATCTTAAAATTTACCCAAGATGTGAATTTAACCCCATTTCTGTGGTTAAGCGTTGGCAATCTAAAAAGAGACAATTTGATAATTGATAGGGTTAGTAAAAATGGGACCATTCTACGAGAGAGTAACGCGTTTTCATTGTTCAACAGTGTGCCATCCCGTAAAAAAATTTAGTTACTGCATATAGGAGATTGAGTAGAAGTAGAACAAAGGGGAACAATTTACTTACTTTATACACGTATAGGGGATCAAGTGGAGGTAGAACAAAGGGATAGCCGTTCATTAATGATTGTCACTAATTTTGCTATTTGTGTATCTACTACAGCACCGAAAAGAAAGCTTCAGAAACCTCATAAAACAATATATTCTTGACCAGCGTCAAATTCTGAATCGATCTAAGCACATGCGTATGCTCGTTTTTTTGCCTATACGACTGCGTAATGCACTTACACCGCCAGAGTGTTCGTCTGCCTGTCTGTCCGCCCAACTAATTGTGTAGCAGCTGTGATAGACATTCTCCTCTTCGCAAAAATGTACACATCGCTGACAAATTCATAAAAGTTTTGAAAACGTCTCAAATCGCTCAAAGGGCACCACCAGAATGCAACAAAAACTGATAACACCTTTCGCATTCAGCCACGCCCAGTCAATATTGCATAGTGTGAAAAGTTAATCTCTTTTTTCAGTCTCTTTTCGGATGACTGTGATGGATCTAAAGAATTCGATCACAGCCCAACATAATTTTCTTACTTGTTTACATTTAAAAATAGGCACGTCGTCGGTTTTGGATGCCGATAAAAATTTCAGCGTTGACTTTATTTTGTAAAGTGGAATCATTACTTCGCATAGAAAATGTATTCTTGATTAACGTCAGATAAATCGTAGCATAATTAAGAGAAAATTTATTTAGAGTATTTACTTAGCGTAATGGAAAAGAAATGATTTATTTTTCGGCAGATAATCGACCAACGACTTTCACTATCTGTTAGGATAATGCAATGCGAATAGCGAACAATATATAGGAAAATATAACATTTTTATGCATTTGACATTAACTTGAGTGTTCATTAAATTTTCTCTCGTAATGATCTTTTAAATACATTTTTTCTATGTGTGAATATTTTGGATCGCTCTTATGCTTTCGTTCTTTGGAATCTGAAACAGCAGAACGAAATCTCTGAAAAGTGCTTAATGATTTACATCCAACTGTTTATGTTATTTTCAGTTCAATATGGCTTTACAGGCGAACAGCAGAACACAGCCAATATTGCTAAATCGCAATGAGCGCGTCATGCCTAAGTGGGTGGTAAGTGACCACCGACAATATTGTGCGCATAAGAAATAAAAAAAAAAAAAAATTGCATTTTCTGTAAAAATATATTTATAGACAGAACAAAGCGATCGTGTTGGTCCGAAACCACCACCTCCTCCAATCGAATTGCCAGGGAATAATACAGAACCAGCCCTACCGCCGAAAACTAAAACACTACCTGAACCTGATTATGAAGTTATTGAATTCTCTAATCAGCAATATTCAAATGCACCCTTGAGACCGCCTTCAAGCAGCTCGGGTGCTAAAACTCCAGGTATTTCATATGGCTCATTACGTAGAGTGAAAATAATAATAATTCTCAGCAGATTCGAAATTGAAATGTACATTATGTGGTTCAAATAATCCTTGGGTAACTTGCGATGAATGTGCTCAACAAATATTTTGTGCTTCATGTGATGACATGTTTCACAAACATCCCAAACGCAAAAATCACATGCGTAAAGTAAGCTAAGCTCTGGAAATTATCTCTCTCTCTCTACTCATATAATATTTGAAGTCTTTCGTTCGTTTATTGGCAGACTTTAGAACAGTCGAAACCACCTTTGCCGCCTAAAGCAGTGCCTGGACAACCTGGTCCCTTGCCGCCAATAGCTCCACCCAGACGAAACAAGCGCGGCTTGTTAACGCCTCTAATGCAACGCAAGGATCAGGTACGCAACTGCACGATTTCCTAAACGATAAAACTTCTTTTACCGTTTTCAAAGCCATATCGCGCTCATTCCCGTTTCCAATTTTGCCAATTATTTTCGATGTGAATACTTTAACTTTAACTTAAAACTTGTTTATAGTTTCGCTTGCTTTCGTATGCTCTTCGTTATATTATTAGTTCGAGCTTTATGTCGGTGGTTTAAAGTTTAACAATAAAATTGTATGATTTGAAGAAGAAAATATTCGTTAGCCGATTTAGATAAAATTGTATTTTCTTTTGGGTTTCTCATTAAAACAAGAACATTTCTAATTTTTTGAACTTAACGAACTGCGTGACCAAACTTGAAACTTAATCTCAGGTCAATTCGATGAAAGAACCATTTATGGTGCCCTCTTCGCCCATTTTATCAACTAGAAATGACCCTTGGCATGAACGTATGGGGTCTTTGAAGAGGGGACTAAGTATTATAAATCGTCCTTTACCGGAAACACCGAAAAGTCAACCTAGCTCGCCTATTGAAGATCAATCATCCCGTTCTGAAACGCCTAAATCCGCATTCGATAATATTCAACGGCCACCTTCAGTTGCTTTAGAGAGAATAAAAAGTAAGGCCAATGCCACTTTGGATCGTATGCAGCTGCTACAACAACGCTACCGGCAACAAAAAGAGCAAATAGAAAGAGAACGAAGCGGTTCTACGAATGATCAGGTAAAATATAGAGTAGAACTAAAAACAAATCAAACAATTATGCTGTGCTCGTCCACCTCATTTCCGCCATTCCCTCTCATAACATTTCTCATGTCAAATGTTTGTCTCATTTGGTAAATTATTGTTATTTCCTTTTGTTTTGCCGCTTCTTTTCCGTGGTGTATGTCGGCTCTCCTCATTGCTCTCTCTCTCTCTTGCCCGATCTCTCGCGTGTGTGTATCGATGTCATTATCTCAATTCAATCAGAATCATTCAACATTTGATTTGTGGTCAAGCATTTCACCATCGCCATCACATTTTCGTTCTGGTAGCATATCATCTGGAATAAATTCATCCCATCTAGACCTCAGGGGTGATTCTCATTTCAATTTGTTCCGTCACCGTCAGATGCAACAACAGTCAAATGCAATCAACCCAAAATCAACACATAATCAACTTAATCAAAGAGGCTTAAGCACGTCGGTGTTTAATTTACATCAGGCTCCACCCCGCAAATCCTCAATTATTGAAAACGGATGGGTTAACAACCCTATGCAGCAGGCAAATATAATTATGGCAACAAAAATTAAATCTTTGAAACTCATATCAGAATTTTTCATTTTAGGCTCAATCCATGGCCCAGTTAAATTGTGCTAATTGCACCGGTTTTGCTCAACAGCCGCAGTGGATTCAAACCCCACCTGTAATGCCTATACCAAACCAAGATCCTTGGGGCAATCAGCTAAATTCTCATCAGCATTTAAACCGCTCAAATTTATCGCTTAATATACCATCCGCCTATATGATGCATTCCGCTCATCAGAATATGTATCCACCGCCAGTTTTCATGAACCAAAGAAATCTGCTGGCCAATATGTACCCACAAGCGTACATGGAACCCCAAAATCAAGGTTTTTCAAAGATTACAAGCAATTTCGAGCATCTACAATTTAGTTTTTTATATCGTAGGCCTGATCGGTGTGCCACCTCCAATATCCCGAGTTATTTCTCGACCAGGTTCCCGCATGGCTTCGCCGGCCTTAAGCCGCCAATCCGTTACGTTAAGACGTAAACAGCGTGCTGCTTATTTCGACGATGAACCGACTGACGATGAAGATTCGGATGAAGATGATCGTCGGTCCTTAGTTTCTAATCGATCTGGCGTTTCCCGAACTCGTCAAAAACGTCTTTCAAACGTTTCGCAAATACCTCAACTAGAGGACGATTTTAGCTCTTCAAATGCTCGCAATCAACATCGTATGCGTGTTAGAGAACAAAGGCGTGGTTCGACCACCAGACTGCAGCCAATACAAAACGACTGGGCATCTAACAGAAGAGCTTCCACAAATAATGGACGTTCAGTGGATTCGGGCTTTAATAGTCCTTTAAAATCTTCACGCATTTACTCTGACTTAGACTCTGAAGGATCCGGTACAAGAGCTTTAGTTCAGGCTAAAATTGAGCAGAAACTTAAGGAAGACGAATCTCTTAAACAAAAACAAAGTAAGACTAAACGACGCACCAGCAATTCTCCATCGCAAAAATCGACGAAGCAGACGACAGCAGTACAAACTCCAGCAGTTAAAAGCAAAATTAAAGAGGATTCACATGATACCCAAGAACGTCAAAATAAAGAAGAAGAAAATCATTCAGAAGTTCCGTCAAGTAATCATAATGAAAGCGAAAGTCAATCCACGCATCAAGAGGAAGACACTAAATCACCGATAGAAACAGAAGACGCGGATAAAATTTCATTGGGTCCACCACCATCCACGCCCGATCATGAGTGGGAATGCGAATTTTGCACATTTGTTAATGAGCCAAACATTAAAATCTGTTCCATATGCTGTAAGACGCCAAGCACTAAGCCCAACAAAGCCCAAGACGAAAGTTCTTCACCTCCAAAGCAAACAATGAATTCGTTAAGCAGGAAAGATTCTGAAAGAGAGAATACAATTAAAAAGAAAAGCGAAAGCACTGAAAACAACACTACAAATTTAATAACCGACGTAAATTCTTTGAAAATCAATGCTAAAAATTTAGACGAGACTGATACCCTTAACAAGAAAGGTAGGCCTAGGAAAATCACTTTTTTAAAAGGTACCAAACCTTTTTAATAAACACTCTCCGCTGCATCCATCTTCCATCCGCAACATGCTCTTACACATTGATAAATCACAGAAATAATTGTATTTGTAAACTGACATATTCCACAAGCTATAATAATTCCAATGCCAATTACCAACGCCAGTGTAATGTGCTATTAACCCTGAATAATTGTGTTTACTTCAAACGTTACTCCAAACATGCTTAACATAAGTATCCAAAAAAAAAGACCTTTAAATTAAGGATGAACATCATTATGATTTTTAGAATCGATAGAAGATATATGGGCCACATTAGATGAAAATATACAAACTACTGCCCAAAAAATCAAAAGCAAAGTTGAATCTCAAAACATTCAGAAGGTTTCCGTAGGAGCCGGTACGCCCTCTAAACGAGAAAACATAGAAAAATCAAAGGCATCACCAACGCAATTGCAAAACACCTTTGTACAAGTAAGTGCTAAAGACAGAATGATTAAAAAGAACAAAAAATTTTTTAAAAATTATTTTAATAGGCACACGATGACCCCACTCATCGAACTTCTGAAAACCATATTGTCTCTCAGCTACAAAACCCAATTTCTTCGAAGCCGACATTTAACGATACGATACAGGTGAGCCAATTTAGTTCAACATGCACATAAGCATCAACAAATATCACTGCTCTTCTTTAGCATCCAATCAAAGTGAATTCTATACCTAAAACTACATCCAGTTTTAATGACTACAATTCCTTTGAAGCGGAAGTTTTATCCAACATACATCACAACATTCATACACCCAATCCTCATCCTCATATGTCCTATGCACGTAATGATCGCCAGCGTTATCTTAGTACCACCGACTTGCGTTCCGACGATTTAATACCAACGGATATCGGTGGAGTTAATGGCTTAAGAAGACGGCAGCCATCCATTAATGATTTAATGCTGATGCAAAGAGTAATAGATTCGTTAGCTCATATATCGCCATATAATCACAAATCACATAATATTTTATTTCATTTCATTGAAGGGCTCATCACAATTGTATTCTCCCACGCCCAGTTATAATTTTGACCCCACATATCCTGACTTGGATAGCCAATATGTGACAAAAGTAATTAATGACAGCTTTTAATTTTCTATATATTTTTCTATATATTTATATATAAAATTGTTACATATTTTAGGAAGCAGATCTTTATAAGTATACTCCGGAGGAATTAAATGCCGCTCTCAAATATTGCGGTCCAGATACAAATCCACTTATCTGGTTACGCGATCATTGGCCCAAACTTATAACCACTGTCCAAACTTTGGCCACAAAATATGGACAGGAGCGGGTCGAAAATACCATCGGTACTATTTCTCAAGTGGAAGCTAGAGATGCTCTTCGCCTGCATACCGGAAACATATGGCAAGCGGTTTCTGAGTGCATCGAACAACGTCAACGAAAATATCGGCAAATTGCGAGCAAAGGAAACTTTTCCCGCGAAGATATCGTTACGGCTCTTACTATTCATCAAGGCAATGAAGAAATTGCTGTAATGGATCTCAGTCGCACTCAATTGAAACCATTTCTAATGAGAATATGGGGCTCACCAAGTGGAGTAGAAAATGAAAGCATTGCGATACCAAACAATCAGTCAAATGATCAGATGGTATCATCTAAAACATCATCCTATTCTATTAGAAAAGGTTAGAAAAGCTTAACCCATTATTCACTTCATAACTTCGTCATTAACCTATTTCTTGGTTTCTTTTTTTTCCGTTCTCACCGTAGACATTCATGATTTCTTGAGCGCTAATGCTTCTGATTGCATGCAAATTCCAAATGCGACTGGAGCTTATCTCATCAATAATCAAAGTTCATCCCAACCTCACAACTCTTCATCAGTATTCAGCTCTTATGAAAATGATAACAATTTGTCCGATAACATATCCAATTACAGTGCAGACAAAAAAAACTTAATTCCCAGCTATCCACTTCAAATTGACGAATCGATCTTGAGCAACAAGAGTATATTGAAAGATCTTGAAACATTAATTGGCAACATGGAACTACAACAACAAAAGCAAAGTGAACAAGTTCTACAATCTACCCAAGCGGAAAATGACTTTGATCCAGAAATTATGCGAGTTTTGGTGAAAAGCCCAATTGCCGCTCCTAAAGTAAAAATACAACCTGTTACCGTCGAAGATCGCAAGCAAGTCGATATTAAAAATTTCATGTGGGAACACATCCAAGAAATAATGCCAAACCTGGTTCAACAGGTCGAAAAGGAATTAATGGATGAACCAGATGATCCAGGAAAGTCAGACAGAAACGTAATACATACACAAAACACATCAGCCCAACTGACTCGTCCTCCACCGCCTGTAGATCACGACGAGTTCCTAATGGAAGAGGTTATTAAGCCGGGGCTGAAAAACGCTTCCATTAAAGAAGAAGTACCTCCTCAATATGTGTATGTCGCTGAAATTGCTACCTTCAAAATGGAATTCGATAAGGCCTTAGAAAAAATATATGAGACCGAAACTGAGTTCGACTCTTTGAAAAATTGTGAACGAGTAATTTTTAAAATGTATAAAGCGCCCGATTATGAAAATTTTGGCGAAGAAATACATTCAGAAATGGAAGCGAGTCTGGGAACTTACGAACTTAAGACAGATAGCAATATCTCAAACAATGGGCTAGAGATTCCCAAAACGAATAAAATTACAGCACCTCTCAAAAAAGAAGACGGACTTATGAGTTTAACGGAAGCAGATACGCCAAAGGACATCAATAGAACAAAATCAAGTTCAGCAATTCCTATTAGTTCAGGGCGGAAAACACCGCTATTTGATAGATTGTCGCATAGCTTAACGCCTGAACCTTCGGGCCATAAGCTATCTCTTAAAAAGTTTCCCATTAATAAAACAACGGACATGTCCGAAGAATTGCAGCAAATTTTGATAACGACAAGAAAGGAACAGCAATCAGTGATATCTGCCGATGAAGCCGCAACGACAGATATTAGGATGAACTCCAACACAGATGTGCAACCTGTGAAACTAAAGACCAACAATATTAAAAGCTCAAAAATACCTATACGAAGCTTTACTAGTTCAAAGTCGAAATCTGATGAAAATGAACGAAAAACCGATTTGAAAAGTAATGAAGTAACCACAAACTCTATTGAAGAAGTGCAAAAGGGATTTCAACTAATCTCGAATGAATCGCAGAAGCCAACCTATGAAATAAATAACAATGAGCCAATAGCAACAGATGAGGACGAAGTTTACAGTATTAAAAGTGAAATCTCCTCAACTGGCGATTTGTCGCAGTTTGAAGACAATACTCAATCGCCTACGACAGTTGATAGTGAAATGTTTCTTATGATACAAGACGAACAAACTGCAAACAGTACGGAAGGTACCAGTCTCGTTGCTTCCACTAGTAATTCCACTTTACATTCTTTGGCAAGTTATTCATCCGGCAAGCAAGCTTCAAGTGAATTTCTACCCTCTGGAGATCCTTCAAAGCAAAATCTTTCAGAATTGGTAAAGGATACTCAAAGACTGATTAAACAAATGAAGGATGAGATAAGCATTGCTGATTTTGAATCTTCAGGGAGCAGTGAAGACGATTACACTGACGATTATACAGATGAATATGATGATGGCGAAGGTGAGGAGGAGCTTGGAGAGGAAGAGGAAGGTTGGGAAGATGAAGACGAATATGAAAGGGAAGAAACCACGGAAAATGTAAATGAAGACAATATTGACAAAGGAGATGAAAGTGAAATAGAAAATATGACCTCCCCGTTACTAGAAGAGGAAGAAACGGTTATCGATAGCTCTCTTAAATCTGTTCGTAGCAGTTCAGCTCTGTCAAGTATTCTGGAACAATCACCCTCACCTAATGAGTCCATTGCACATACTCTTAAAAGTCATACTCCAAATGAAGAAAGTCAGTTGGCACTCTTTAATAGCGCATCTCCAGTCCCTTCCAGATCTCAATCACAATCTTCTACAAATGATTTACACAATCAAGAACTTGCCACTACAGCAAGCCCAAGTGAAACACAAGATTTAAATGTCAAACCTACTAATGTAACTTCAGAATCTTACCTAGAAACGGAAAATACTATACCGGAAATGCCAGTAGAATATAGTTTCAAGAAATTAGATGAACCTGTTGAAAATGTCGCAATCCTTCTTTCCGCAGACTTAGCGGACCAAACGCACTCGTATGTAGAAACGGAAAATAATACGCCTGAAGTTCCAATGGAAGCTTTATTAAATTTAGAACGGAGTTCACATGAAACTTCTAAGGCTAAAGAAGACATAACCGTTCCTACGAAATATGCTGACAATAAATCTGAAAAATCAAAGTATGAATCAACAACTATAGAGGACGATCAACCTTCAACTAGTAAGGCAGCTAAAAAGAAATTAGCTAAAGTGGAAGCTGCTGCACAAACAAAAACCGGAATAGTATATAGTCCTTCAACTACAGCAACTAGATCAAAAATTTCTGAGCAAACAAAACTCCTAGGAAGTGATGAAATAAAAGCACAAAACAAAAAAGCAGTGGTGCCAAGTAAAATCCCAAAGCCTCAAGATAACAAAGTTAAAGAACAAAAAGATTTAAAAAAGAAAATAAATACACGATCTAAGTCATTTTCTGGACCACCTACGACACCAATTGGCATCACCTCAGTAAAAACGTTACGACAAGAAATACTGAAACAAACCCGTCAAACTCCTGCTACTCCTCTGCAGAGAAATCCTCCACCACCGTTAATAAGAAAAAAATCTATAACTGAGGTCATAAGCAAACTCACTAAGCCCACCGCCTTAGAATTGACTAGCAGTCATTTATTTAAGCCACGAACTCAACCACGTATACCGAAAAAGAAATACCATGAAACCTGTTTTTCAGACGACGATTACGAATCTTCGGAATCAGCTGATGAGGAGCCTGAGCCTTTAGAAATAAGACAACGTAAGCTTAGTGTGCCCGTATTTCGACCTTATCCGAACGTCCAGCAACCAGAAGAAATCAAAACAGAGGTGATATGCAATGTCAACTTCAGGAAAATTGTTATTGATATGCTTTGTTTTACAGGAATTGATTAAAAAATTTGTAGAAGAGCAATTAGTATCTAATTTAGCAGAAGCTCAAATAGCTGCTGCTCTAATTTCAATGAAATTCCAACAAGATGTGTCGATATGGGCTGCGAAAGAATGCAGTGACCTGGATCATGCCATTGGTCTACTACGTCAAGAGTGTGAACTATGCAGCGGTACTTTTGCCCTTAACGAAATTGTCTCCATGCTAAAATGTACACATAAATGTTGCAAAGGATGCGCCAAAAAATACTTCACAGTACAGGTTAGTGTGACAGATATTGTGATTGAAAGAATTACTAGTTTATCGATTTCATTAATCGCCGATAGATTACCGAACGCAGCATTAACGACTGCAACTGCCCATTTTGCAAATTACCCGAATTGCACAAGCAAAGTGAAAACGATGAAGATGAAATTTTAGAATATTTTTCAAATCTGGATATATTCTTGAAAAACATAGTAGAAGCTGAAGTTCACGAATTATTCCATCGTAAACTAAGAGATCGCACTTTACTTAAAGATCCGAACTTTAAATGGTGTATACAGTGTTCATCGGGATTTTTCGCACGACCTAAACAGAAACGTTTAATATGCCCTGACTGCGGATCGGTAACATGCGCTCAATGTCGGAAGTTGGTAAGTTTAATATTTTTATGTCCACTGTTTGGACTCGACGAAAAGTACGTATATAGGTCAGCAAAAGGCTGCGAGTAGATTTACTCAAATCCTTCCATTCTTCCAACTATTGTCTCAAGGCTCAGTTCGCACGGTCTCAAAAAGTTAGATAGAAAAATGAAATTTACCCTACGTTCGCTTACTATACATTCATAAAGCAGCCAAAAAAGCGGTAGCCGCTCAAGCACATGGCTACAGTAGCTTTAATATATAAGATTGAGAAAAGAATTTTTAAATGGATCTGAATAATTTAGAAGCTTTAACAGATCTCGATCTAAAATATAGCACAAATATTTACCAAAGCCATATTAATACTCAGCTCCTTACGTGAGCACGGAAATTTGTAATTTTATAAGCTTTCATTTGGCTAAGTTAAACGTTTAAGTAGGTATCGACAATACAGTCAATTTTTCTGCCACAAAGTAAAGCATTAGCGCTTCTCTTAAGGATTCGAAGTTTTATGTATAGTTACATAGAAGTGACTTGAACAAAATTCATTTTCCATCTTTGACTTCATTTAAATAAAATCATATTATTTTGAAAAACTATGAAGTATATATGCTTTTGTCCGTCTGTCCCTCTATGCAGCGTCTATTTTCACTTTCTCCTGGCTGCAAAAGTCAACCTACCGGTTACAAAACTGGCAGGCAAATTGGAAGTTTTTGCATCAAAGGACATGCTTGTCATGCACGTCATACACTACTATAGACTCAATATAAACCCTCCAAAAATGGAAAAAATTAGCTATGTCAATCTAATATCAAAGTAGGATAATGTAGTCGTTCGTTGTTTTTTAATTATTTTTAGTACAAAGGTAGTGGGTGAAAAAAATTAGATCATAACCGAGCATAATTTTCTTACTTACTTTAATATAATATGCTTTTTACTTACTTAACATGTAACGCAATAAATAATTAAGTAAACGGTCTTTTCGCGGTTTTATGTTTTTATTCAACTCTTTTTAAAATTAAGTTCGCACCGCAGAATTCTAATTTTTAGGATAATTTGGGTTTTACTTATGATCCTTAAGAGACCTGTTTACAAATTATTTACAAGAACTTGCATTTACAACCCTTGAAGTCTCTTTCTGGTCTTGTCCGCTCGAATATTGCAATTCATGTCTCTTGGCTCGACTCTAACTCTGCCTTCTACAAAAATGCTATTCATATAGCCTTTTAAAGATTTTTTTACCCTGCACTTCCCTGCAATTATCTATGTGTCGACTTTTCAAAATAAACCATTACATGGCGGGCGATCCTTAAAGTGGTTCAATCCAATCCATTTCCAATAGCGTTCATGCTTCATAAGAGCATTATGGCAGAAGCTGGGCCTATCTACCCCGCCCTATGTAGTATATCTTTGCTTGTTTCAGTAAATATATAGGAAATTTATAAACAATTTCTTATAACAGCAAGAAGATTTCTCTAACATGTAAATTCTTTATTGTGTTAATAGTGGCAGAAACAACACGAAAATATAACTTGTGAGCAATTTTTGGAATGGCAAAAATCCAATGATCCTGATGTACAAACTCTAGGTGTGCAAAGACATCTGGAACAAAACGGCATTGATTGCCCAAAGTGTAAATTTCGTTATTCATTAGCCAGGTAGATGTGCATATATACATAGCGCATATATTTAAAGTTTCCTTTGTCTCTCTCACATTCTCTTTTCAAATTTATTTCAAAACTCCAGAGGAGGCTGCATGCATTTTACTTGTACTCAATGCAAATATGAATTCTGCTATGGTTGTGCCAGGCCGTTTATGATGGGAGCCAAGTGCAATATTTCCCCCTATTGTGCCAAATTGGGTTTGCATGCTCATCATCCGCGTAATTGTCTTTTCTATTTGCGTGATAAGCTACCCATACAATTACAAATTCTATTGAAAAATCATGGCGTCAACTATGAAGAGGATCCTATTGATACATTCATAGAAAGCAATGCTATAAGTAAAGCGATGCCGTTACGATGTCCTATACCTATACAAAAAGAAACACCAACCGGTTTAGTGGACACTAAGTGTAATAATGACGTTCCTGAAAAACATGGGGGCATGTGCCGGTTAGTTTTACGAACATTTTTCATTTATTCTTTATGGATTTCTTTTGATTTATTGTACATTAATAATGCATTAGCACACACTACGTGGAATACTTAACGGCGAAAGTTGCCAAAGCCAATATCGATCCTTTACCAATTTTCGATTTAACGGATTGTGTTCAAGAACTACGGAGACGTGGTATTTCCTTACCCGAACGCGGACCGTGGGATACTGATGAGATTTATAAAAATATGTGTGCAGAGGTGAATATTTTCATTCAAATTTGTATGCAAAAAAAAACTTTTAACCTTACGTTCCATTCTTCCATTAACAGGTTATCAAACAAAATATACCATTGGATGCTGTTTAGAATTAATATGGATCAAGAACTATCACTTTTTTTACTACTACGTCAAAATCCATTTTTGTTTTTTTTGTTTTTTTTCTGTTGTGTTTTTTTTTTTAATGTATAGTTTATAGTAAAACTTTCTATGTTTGCCACAATATGTACTTTGTCTGTTCAAAATTGTTGAGACTAATGTGTTTGATATAAATAAAACGAACAAAAAGTATTTCACATAAATCACATTTAAAAACGATTAATGCGTGTTTATCTGTTAAATGGTTACAAATATAAACAAAATACGGTAAAATTATACCATTTGGCCTAACTGCGTGCTTAATAATTTTAATATATGTAAACATAAGCAACAAAATTTCGGATATATAACAGCTTACAACTGCTTTCAGTAAAGAGTTCGTCTCTACCTTGGGGTGATAATGCACTAAATATGAATAGAATTATGAGCCAAATAGAGAAAGAAAATAAACATACAAAACCTACATTGTATACTGCTTTCATACAATGACATAACATCATCAAGCACGATCCTCATTTATTAAATGCGTGATTAATATGAGATATGGTCTATCGCTTGAGCGCTGCTTAAACATGTCTCCTGTAATCGTTCGTTTTCTAGGTAGTGCAAGAGAGACTTTTTATGCCAAAGCAATTAATCTCAGATTTCTAAAACATTATTATTCAAAATGACAACATCCAGCTAAATGGATATATTCAATGGCCATAAGAAACTGTTATAGTACTACGATGTTCGAAATGTAAGAGAAATTTTTTTTTCAAAAAAATGGTCGATTCGATTACGAAAATCAATTGCTCGTTACCATCTCCACCAGAGAAGTTTCACATCATCCAGTCGGTTTACAAATTAAAACATTTATTATAATTCTTAAAATTATTTTCGCCGAATTTCGAAATTAATAAATTTATTAAAATAAAAATTTACATAAAATTCTTTTTAAAAATCAAAGCCATGTTAACCATATTTCTTTGATTACCTTAGCGTTGTTGACCAGGCATTCATTTCAGAATCTCAAACTGTTAACAAGGAGCATTATGTAACCATTTAACATCGTTTATGTGAGTATAAAAATCAGCGAGATTTGTGCTACAACATTTCCTGATTTAACACATCACTCAATAAATCCCCAGTCTAGCACATAGTGCAAGCATTAATATGTAAGTTACGGTTGCTTTAGGGACACTACCTTTTTCAGTTTTGAATTTCGTTTGTTGATTAACTATCACTTGTTGATCAGAAAAAATACAGCTCAAAATCCGCAATGGACTTAAAGGCGTTCTGGCGTAAGTACAGTTATGATTCTGAAGCCCCTGGCCACCAAAAATCGGAAGCTGTTTCAAAAAACAAAAAGAAAGTAAACAAACAAACAAAATCGTTTTGAAAGATCCCCAAGAGATCTTGCGTAAGATAGATGACACTTTAACGATACCAGAGGGCAGTTTATTTACCATCTGCACTTGAGAGAGCTCTGTTTGAAATGCTCACTTTTGACAAGAACATGTTGATGACTCAGAGCGCTATTCGCTGCTATATAGGCGAGATAAAAAAGATAATAAAACGTGGACCCATCACTACTCTTCACCGTCAAATCGGTAGTCAGCCAAGTGGGCAACTCATGGCGAAAACCATCCGAAGCGACCAAAAATGTAACTTCACTAAGGCGCATGTAACTTGTAAACTAACACTCCAAATTTTAGATACTTAACATCTATAATAGTTTGAAAGTTACAGGTTGTTTTAATTATGATCCCGTTTCCACGCTACTCACACTCTTTGCTTGCAAAGAACTGGTATCTCTCCATAAATACTATTTGAGAAAATTTTTATGTTCATATCTACTATAAACTAAGTTTGCCAAGCTTCAACTTTCTACCTCAACTTTTACGAGCTCAAAAGCAGAAAGAGGGACGTATGTCCTTAAATCCACTATTAATCTCACATTTATCGATCAGTAAGTCACATTTATAAAATCGCAGATGCATATTTCTGTCTAACGCTCCTTCAAATAGTGGGATTACTAGTATAAATAGCGGATTGCAATCAGCTCTCAACGCGGAGACGCCATTAACGACAGGAGCGGCGCCATACTTCACTACACTACATCACATAACCCAACTTTCTTTAGTTTGGAAATAATGCACGTTTTCATCATTCAGAAATGTTTTTAGTTGTTTTAAATCCAACTCTGTTTTAAGATATATTAACGTTTCCTGATAAAAGATAAAAGATAGAATACTTGCAGACTTATATGCGACTAAATCGAGATTATTAGTGACTTGGTGAAACATATAATGCCTATGGAAAATACGGTGCACACGATGCGCAATGTGCTTTCCAGAACAGGCCAATGATTGAGGTGTTCTTGATGTGGTATCATTACATAAACCCATCTATAAGGGCGACGAAATATATGCATTATAATCCCTGCACACAAACCTATTAACGGTTCACGTTTGCAATCAACGCGAAATTTCACGGAATTGTTTTCAAATTCTGCTAAAAAGTTGCTAATAAAAGTTATTCACTTGCGTGAGGACTATAGTCACAATTAATTTTCTCGATAATATATGCATAGAAAATAAAAAACATTTTCATTTCTTACTGAAGGGACTTTTTATTTAAAAACCAAAAAAAGAAAATGGTAGACTTTAAACGAAGTGATTTCATACTAATGGAATCCTTTCCTAAATCTATTAAAAGATTTATTTTTATTAACAAATAAAAACCAAACTCTTAGAATATCTCAGGAAATACTTTTTTAAATTTGATAAAAAGATTATAGAAAAGAAACAAATGATTCAAAACCTTCCCACGGATGGCGGATATGCTCCATTTGTCCAAACGTTTTCAACGCCCAGGAGTAAGCTTCAGAAAGTATATGTTTTCTTGATCAGCATTAAATTAAGGATCGATTTAAGGACATGCCAGGATGTCCATCTGTCCATGCGCTTTGCATTCTTCTTTTTAGAATGAAAGTGGGAGTGGCTGATGTAGGCCACCAGTTGACCAGTTTAGATCATTTTCCAATTTTTTCAAAGATTAGCAACCGATATCTTCATCTTCGCTTCATTTCGTTTATCACATATACTAGCCATTTTGGCAAATGGATAGACGGACTTGCTTATGTGCATTCCGCAAGAATTTATATACTTTATGTGGTTTTTCAACCTGGCTTCTGCGTGTTATAAGGGTTTCGGGAAAGAAGTGAAATTATGAAACACTATGAAATTGGGTAATCGAGGCCGAAATTTGCGTAGGTTAATCTGGCGTGGTTTGTGAGTTATGAGCAAGCAAAAATTTGTATTACTTTTGGAAAGTGGAAATGATCTCAATTCACGTGGTAATGTAGGCGTGTCCTACAACCGATTTGGTCCATTTTCAATACATACCTGCGTGCAAGAAGCTTCAACGTTTGCGCTAACCTTAAAGTCGGTAGCTTCATTTTTCCTTGCCGGGAGACTGTTTACAGCAGACACTATACAGACGGACAGACGAACATACTTAAATCGATTGAGAATTTAATGATGATGAATTATATGCTTCCTATGTTGTGTCTCTGAAGCCTTCTTCTGCTGGGTGTAGCAAATATTTTGACAAAGTGCATATACCTTTCATCCTTACCTGATGGGTATAAAACTTCATAAAATGATCCAATTATAATAGTTCTTTGAAAAGTCTTGCTAGCAATAGGAAAAATAAGAAGTACATACATCCAAGTAGTTTAGATTGAAACACAGCTGTTGAACTGAAACTATATTTTCAGAGCAGAGATGGAAAACTTAATTTGATTTAATTCGATTCAAAATATGTGATACGCTTTTGGTTTACGTGTATAGAATGAATATTTATTATGAGTGAATACAATTGCTTACATGAATCTATAACCAATAAATATTTCTAAATTTTCTATTTATAATGTACTCGCAGATATGCACACTTATTGTTACTTAATTTTTCTTTTTTTTTTTTTTCTCCTCTTACTGAATTGCTTATAATTAACATTAAAGATATATGTAATTTGTGAGCTTATATATGCGTATAACATTTGCTAAAAAAAAAAAAAAACTAAATACAACAAAACAATTCTAAAAATTTGTATATTTTTACATCTATGGTACATTTTAACACTTAACTATTAAGTGGTTTTTTTGTTTTCAACTCAATCTCAATTTTTCTACTCTTTTTCTTTTTTTTTTTTTTTTTTTGTTCTTTTTGTGGTAAATTTGTTAATTGACTTTGTAAAAATAGTATATATTTGTGCCCTAATATATTATCATTTTATTGTCCTTATACACATTTTTTTGGCCCTTAATTAATTTCTTAATTAGTTACATCTACGACTGCCAAACTTTCAATTTCTGTATCGAAATTTGCATCGCAAGTGGCCAGCCACTCGAGCACTCGTTTACGTATTGCGTTTTGATCCAATGCGCTTTCTAAACCATAACTGGACATCATACGCCTTAGACGGGTTTTATTCTCATCGGCAGAATGTCGGCAATCTTTCTGATTCAAATAAATGCAAGAATCTTGATCAGGATTCGGTGAAATCAAAGTAGCTGACTTTGAGGCGGTTATACGACATTCAACCCAACGATCTTTCATATATTTAGCGACTTCTGTCACTTTACAGCGATCTTCAGGATCGTAGGATAAATATTTGCGAAAGCATCTCATCAAACGTGTAGAAAATTTGCGAAAATTATCTGGAATTTTAGTGGTTTTACGCTGTTCATATTTCATAAAGCCCGCGTATTGAGTATCTTTAACCCAATCGGCAGCATTCCACGGCGGACTACCGGTCAATATGTGAAACATCAATATACCGAATTGCCATGAATCACTCGACGGCAAACAATGAAATCTTTCGTTTTTCACAATTTCCAAAACTTCAGGCGGCACGAAACTGGTCCAAGTGTGTTTCACCTTATGCACAAGTAAACCCTTGCGAGTGGTGGCTCCAAAATCGCATAACTTGACACGGGAAAAATCCGGTGTAAAAACTAATACATTCTCCAATTTTAAATCGCGATGAACAAGATTTTTCGAATGCATAAAACCCAATGCCGAGCTCAACTGTTCCGTAATCAATTTGCATGCATTTTCGTGAAGACCATTGGGGCCAACATTCGAAGCCAAATCTCCATAGGGAGCATGCTCCATTGCAAATACATAATAGTCTTTGGTCTGAAAAGCCACATTGTAAGCACTCAGTATGTTACGATGATGCGATAATTCATAGTTGAAATGAAATTCTCTTTGAAACTCTTGCGTTGTGGTCAGTTCGGCATGAACGGCTTTTAATACAACTTGAGTTTGGGTAGGCCGATGCAAAGCGAGCATAATTTTTGCGAAACAACCCTCAGCCAATACCTTCTCAACGTTGTATTGATCGTTAAAAGTCATTAACGGTAAATCAATATCGCGTACAATATGAATAAGACCACTATCATCCTTGTCCGGTTTCTTATAGATGCTACTGCGACGGCTTACCGAAGCCGCAGAATTCGGAACTTCTAGTTTCATACTAGTACTGGTTGCAGTTAAGGGTGAATTGCAGCGATTGTTATTAGTACACGTACTACTATTATTATTGCTATTGCGTGAATGGGTGCTACCGCCATCGCCAGGACGTGATCTGCGCAAGCGAAACGAAAACGAGCGTTTTTCTGCAAAATAAAATGATATAAGGATTTATTACATTTTCATTATCGTCTTAAAATTTATTTTTAAAAATGAAATAATTTCTTGCATCGTTTTCAGCAAAGATCGATAACGATCGCATGATGGCAGTTCGGTGTTATAAAAAGATTTGTCACACGAGTTCTCCTATCTTTGGAAGAGAGAGAGATTGAGAGAGAGAGAGAGAGAGATAGGTCTACTAATTTCATTGTACCATTCGTAACAGTAACATGGGCTGGGATTATTTTGAAGAAAGCCAAATTTAATTTTTTTTTTTTTTTGCTTTTTCGTTTATGTATATACGGCCAGTAGTCCATAATAAACATTACGTAAGGAATAGTTGATTTCTTTTTTTGCATCCAAGTTAAAAGTATTGCAAAAATGTCAAGTTTAATTTTTGAGTTGATCTTAATTTTTTAACCGTTCCAGATGTAATTATTATCGATTTATAAACCGAAAGTTAAGTTTTTATCTTAAATTTTTCAAGTTGGAAAAGTACTCTTTGCGAACTTTGAAAGGCAAAAAATGTAAGCAATGCAACTGAATGTGGTGCACTATGAAAGATAGAGCAGAGTAATGAAATCTCTTTATCTCTCGTGAATGGATGATAAAATAAAATTAATAATCGAGTATTAATTTTTCGCAAAAGGCATTAAATACGTTAAGATTAAAATGGCAAAGATGAGGTTTGAAAATTCGCCTTAAATGCTCAGTAGCTTTCGTATTGTCTTTTTCTCTCTACATATTATTCTTTTCGTTAACCATATGTTTGTCACCGTTTGTCACGTACACATGATTTATGTGCATTTCTTCATATATCTTGACTTTGATGTTATTTAATAAACAAAAGAAACGATAAATAAAACGCATAAGATTGTTTTGGGTGATTATTATTTTTTTTTTTTTTTTTTTTTTTGTTATGGAATACACAAAAATAGGTTTTTCATTTATATAAAAATAAAAAATAATAATTCAATTTTTTAACTGTGCACACGTTTTTTTTTTTTTTTTTTAAACAAAAAATAAATTATATATTATATATATTTGTGAAAATTATTAATAATCATCTTGAATCCGCGTAATGATGATGACATTACTTTCAAAATAACTGCAAAATTTAATTTTAAGTACTAAAAATTGACAACTGTTATACTTTGTTACATTTTATAGTCGAATGCATATTAATTCATATAAATATATGGCAAATAATAATATCTAGTATGAATTTAGATTTCTAAAAATTTGTTCAACTCATAATGAGAGGTTTTAATGTATTTAAAAAAAAGTCGTAAAATAAAATGTGGCAAAAAAAAAGACGCCATTATGTCTGATCGTACCGGTCCAGAATTAAAAATTGACGCCTACAATGAAATTTTGTATGTTTTCGCATATCTTCTACTCTGCGCGTGCATATTTATATAAACGCATATGTAAGCAATATATAAAAAAGCTATACTCGTTTTGTAGCGAAACTTGGATACTCAGTACTTAAGGTCTAATGAACTGCCATTTTTTCATTACATATTATATGTGCAAGGTTTAGTTTGTCTTTCATACTCAACAACACAGATAATTTACTAAATATATGCGAGTCATGGAAATAGACAAAGAGAACTCCATCGAATATAATTATTCTTGCTCAGCTTGGATAGTGGTGACGATTATGACTTTAGAATGTTTCAGTTGAGAAATACATTTCACCCTCTTTAACTCGGCTCACGAATCTGCCTACAAAAAAACATGTACTTCCTATAATCCAAAAATGTTGTACGTTACCTTACATGTATATGTATATGTTACCTAATATATATATAATACGTGTATATTATACATAGAAGACAATATTGAAAAACTTGGCATAGGAATATATTTTCAAGGGGGGAACACCGCTGTCATATCCAAAAAAAAGAAATTTTTTTGACAATTATTGTTGGGACGAAAGGAAAAATAACAAAATAATAACATTCGAGGAAGGATATAATCTTTGAGAAGTATTAAAAAGTGACAAGACCGGAACCAACCTCTCAAGCCACTAAAAAAATCGATTAGTATACTTATTTCTAGCTAGTAAGTTGGGTACAGAATTTTAACGGTATTGATTTTTGTGCAATTACCAGGAATTTGAAAGAGAAAAAAGGGCCATCACGTGTGAAAAATTTAACTTTCGCTTTCGTTTACAGCTGATCTTGCTAAGCAGTTAAATACGAAAGTGAAAGCTATCTTTTAGTTACGTGATTATATTCAAAATTTAATTAAACCTATCAAAAACGATTTAAGGGGAATGAAAATTGCTGAACTTATGCTGGGCTACGTTTTAAAAAACTGTGTTTCGAAAAAGGTCTATTAAAAATTTCCAAATGGATATGTGATGAATATCCAGAATATCAAATTTTTGAAAGTATTTAAAATTTAAATACGGCCCCAGACAGGGAAATAATCACCTGTGAGAAATTTAGCTGTCGCGGTTGTATTCAGCTGTTAGCTACGTGATTCCTCTCCAGTTTTTCATATCATTCTTGAATATTGAACGCATCAGTCAAACCAATAAAAATTCAAAAGTAAAATTCTAAAAATTTTGAGATGGTGTTACTCCCTAACAATAAAATCTTACATAACTACTCTCAACATTTGCATAGATTTCCGAAATATTAATTCCTGGATGTCATAGGTAATTATTTCGTACACATTTACGACTAAGTTTCGATCTTTTGTAGTAACAGAGGAATAGGGAATGTTTTCTGAAATTTCATTGATTTATCAAATTCTGTCCGGCCTCTAAATCTTCGAAGGAAAGCAAGGAACTTTCCACTAAATCAATTGAAATTTTCACTTCAACTGACTGTAAAGAAGATTATATAAAGTAGACAACATGCTTCTTGCAGGGCACATGATGAAACTAACAAACTTTCCTCTTTTAGTAATGATGGCAAAAATTATGCCAAGAATTGTCTTGTCTTAAAAAAAAAAAAACACAATTTTTTTTTAAACATTTATTTCTACGAATAAAAAATTATGAGAAATAAAAAGAAAAAGAAAACGAACTTCCCAAAATAATGTCATTGAATTTTCTTAGAAAAACTAATCATCGCTAGCATAAATTCATTGGATGAGTATGATGTCTTAAATCTATTGCTATATTAATTGTGTGTTTCCATTTATAAATCACTTCTGAGAGATTTTCGTTGCTAGCTATGCTATGCTTTCATTTAATGAAATCTCAATCATATTCACAGAAATTTGTCACTTTCCACATCTCTAAGCATCAAAATTGAATATATATGGAAGCAGACTCTATAGCTTGTACGGTGATGACAATTTGAAAAAGAATTAACAAGACTGTCCAGCAATCAGCATTAATTTGAAATAAAAACAACAACAAAATTATATTCTCCTTAGATATATGAACACTTCTTACCACGAACATACATATATATGACGTATATACAATACACATATAATAAATTCAGCTGAATTAAGCAACACTTAAGATTAAAGGCCTTAACTATGGCAATTTAATCAATGGTTAACGAAAAAGAAAACAACCTCACACCTGCGTATACGTATTATGAATAAATAAATCTGTAAGGGAGAAAGAAAAGCAAAAACATGTGCCCTGTAGCCCAAAAGCGCATTAACAACCGATAATCATTAAAGTGAAAGCACACCAAATAGAAAAAAAATATATTCCAAGCATCTCGTCAATTACAGGCGAGTCAACTAACCGATTATAGAATCATTCTTAATACACTGATGTAATTTTATAGATTTTTTCAGCGTATATGTAATACCCAGCTGACCCTAACAGACCTCCTATTACATATTTACACTTTATGAATCGATCTAAACTCGTCTGTTTGTCTGTCTTGTCGTCTTATGATCAACCTAGAGGTCGCAGCTTTTGAAATATTTTGATGAATTTTTTGATACCGTCAACACCCAGAAGGGTTTAAGATAAAATTTTTTACACTGTCAACAGCCAAAAGGGCTTGAGATAGATTCATTTTCTCTCCTCTATTACATTTTTATACTTTCTATCCATCTGTCAATCCGAAATTTATAAGATATTTTCATGACAGTTGGTACACCGACGTGTGTTCGCTGAACTGATCACTTTTTCGGCCGCTTCCCATACAACGACCTATTCTGAAAAATCATTATAGGGCGGTGTAGGATATTTAGTGTCATGTAAGATTCATTTATTAGAAACAGTTTAATATGTTCTTCTGAAAATTTAGATAATCGATTCTTTGTTTCAATATCTACTAAGAATTTTCAACTTCTGCTGCGACTATCAATTAGAGATATTTCGAACCCTAGGTTTCCACACCAATAGCAGACGCTAGATGAACATGTGCAAGAACGGGCAGTCGAGTAGACCGCAAAAAGTAAAGCAAGTAAAATTCTTCCTCTGCAGAGCATTTGTGTACAAAGTAAGTCGAAGAGTCTTCAATTGTTGTGAGTACGAAAACTTAAATCAATTTATGTCCATCTTTGATCTCTATTATCGTAATTTCCTTGTATTCTGTTCGAATTCTCTTCTCTTCTCATATAGCTTCAATAAATAATCCGTAGATTGGGTTAAACACTGCATATAAATAAACCTAAAAGTTGTCCAAAGAATGAAAAAATACAACAACTTTCGAAAATGATTGGAAACCTAACGAAGTTGTATAACAATTGCTACACGTGTAATGATCTTAAGTTTTGCTATCGAGCTTCAATTGATATGCAAATTGATTGTGAATTTTTAATTGAAATCCGTCCATGATTCGAATCGAGACATGTATAGCATATAATTCTCTTTCTTTTAATCATTGAAAAATTGCAACACATAACCTATCTTTTTAATTATTTGAAATGAAGTAAAATTATATACAAAACTTAAAGTGAAGCGAATTGGGAATTGAGAAAGGAAAACTCTTACAAAGGACGTTTACGAAATATAATCATATAATAAATATTTTAAAAGATTATGATTTTAATGATT